GGGGGGGGGCCCAGCGGGTTAGGCCAGCGAGGAGGGTTACCTATCTAGTCTCTGGATGACAGACGGCGTATGCGACATCACAGACGTCCTATGCGGCAACCCGACGCCGCATGCTGACGTGGTGCCTTTCCTGCCCTTTGACGACTCCCCCAGCTTTTGAGGGTCGATGGCCCTGTCAGTTCCGTGTCAGTTCCGCGTCGGCATCGAGATCGCCTGCCTGCTTCGCCTGGCATTCGGCACCTTCGTATCTCCACCTCTGCTTCCATACGCCAGGCCTAATAGAAACCCCTGTGCTTGGACAGCCGGCCGGACACCTGGCGCAGGAGCTGATAGATCTCTCACACCATCTAGGCGATCCGCCTTCTACGCCACCGCTCACAAAGAGGCGTTCCATCGGGAAGCGATTCCCCCCTTCCCACGGGAGTGTCTATCGGAGGGGCCCAACAGCCGCGCCTAATTCGCCGCGACGGCGCCGGCTGGTCACACGGATCCCTTCCCTTGGGTTCCTCTGGGCCGCCCTCCCCCTTGTCTCTGTCTCTGTCTCTGCCGCCGCCCGCAGCCTGGATGGGGCTGATCGTCGCTGTGACAAGGGAAGCGAGCGAGGGGGGCGTGCGTGGCTGGATGCGACCCTTTTTTCCTGCCAGCTCCCGGCTGAGTGAGAAACCTCGCATACTTTCCATATTTTTGCCTTGCTCGCGAGATGGCGGCGGCGGGGAGCAGGAGAAAGAGTCTGTGCATGAGTTGAGTACCTACCACCCCCTGGTCGCGGATTCTTGTTTCCTCATCTGGCCAGGATATTGTAGAGGCGCGCCCTTGCAACACCACCCTGCCGTGCTCCTCGAGCCCGGGCGGCGGCCTCGTGTGTCTCCATCTCCCAACCGCGCACACCCTCCCCGATTCGGGCATCAAGTGCGATGGGAAAAGCGACGCCCTTTGGCAATGTATGTGTTGGCGCCTATAGGGCCCCCCTGCCGTGTGAAGGTGCAACGCACATCACGACTGCATAACACGCCGTCAGCATCTGCCTCAACTACGCTCCATACCACCTTTGGGCAGAGCGCGCGAGACACAGGCCGCCCTCCCCCTCCCATCCTTCTCGGCGTCACCAAGAACCACGAGATGAGCACGTCCGGTACGCCTGGGGAAGATCACCGCGCTCCCGAGGGTGTCACGCCCCGCGGGTTTGCTGAACCCAGCGTAGCGAACCTTCCACACACTCCCCCCAGCGAGAGAGGAGAGTGGGGCGGTGACAGATGCCGATGCGCCGGCCTACACCACTCAGCCAGCCCCTTCGCCTTGCCGGCGCCAGGTGGGTGATGGCCCCCGCGCCCACTGGTCCTTTCTTGCTTTGCTTCTTTCACGTCTCCGTGATGCGACCCTGACCCGTCGTCCCATAGCAGCCCCCCCTGGAGCCAGCCCCGGCACTAGCCTTGTTGGACGAGCTGACTAGCCCGCGTGCTTGGGATGACGAAAGGCAGGCTCACTATGAGTATGTCGTGTATAAATACGTGACTCTTGTCTCCCAGGCTGGCACGCTTGAACTTGGATCTTCACGGCATTCCGGGAGAGGCATAAAAAGCTGTTACCACCCAGTCTCGCTAGGGCACAGTAGCCGTCATTGACTCATCCAGCTTTACAAGGCTAAAGCCCCTCGGGCCAGCGCCACCCATACCGCATCGTTTCTCTCGTGGGAGCAACAGCATCACCAGAAAACTGCCGACCCAAAAGCGCCCCATCGCCTACCATGACACAGCAAAACGCAGGAAACTGGAGTGGCTACTACAGCCACGAAGTACCCAACCATGAACACCTGCAAGCCTCGAATGGCGACCTCGTGACGGCGCAGGACTGCGACAATCCCGACTGCAGCATGCGGACGTAAGTAGCTGACCCTCAACTCACCCATCAGGGACGGGCGGGGGCACTGACACGTAGGGATCTCACGGACAGGATCTACCAGGGACAGTACTACTGCGGGACGTGCGAGAACAGAAGGGTGGTCTGGGTCCCGTGCGGATGCCCGCCCGACCCGTCGGTGCAGACCATCGCCTCGTCCTTCCAGGGGTCCGCGCCCGGGGGCTCCTCGCAGGACCGGAGGAACGACAACGGCAGCAACGGCGACGGCGGCGGCGGCGGTGGTGGCGGCAAGGGCAAGGGCAAGGTCCGGCGCCAAGGCGGTAGCCACCGCGTCGGCAGCACCTGAGCCGGAGCTTGTCGGTGCCCCTCCCGATGGCATGCTGCCAAGGTTGACCACCGAGGCAGTCCCGGCCACGTACTTCCAGCCTCAAGCCACTGCTCGTAGCCACACCCGCTTCCTACGCGGGATGGTTCGACAGTCGCAATGTTTATGTCGAGGATGACTCCAGCTATTTCTGATTGCTTTCTCCCTCCTAACCCTGTGCTCCCGGCTTTTTTTTCATGGGGGCACATGCTACGTTCCAGGTTCTATTCGTCCATGTATCATCTTTGGATTTGGCCTTTTCACTTAAACTTTTGGTATTCGCTCCCTTGACTTTGCCTTTCTAATTTCCTTTTCTATTTCAACCTGTCTCCCTCTTTTTGATCTCCTCTCCTGTGTGGCCAAAAACCACGGGCTGTGACGGATATCACGATATCTACCTCGGTAGCCTGCTGAGACGCTCTTCCAGGAGGTCCAAGTATATGTGGAGAAGGGGGGTTTGTCTCCAATATTATGACTTTAACCGGCCGAATGGGCAAGTGGCCGCAGATACAGCTTTTTGTCGCCTACCGGTGATCAACAAGTGCGTTGTATGCGTCCGTGTGTGTCTCGTGACGTTGCCAAGTAACACTAGGTGCCCAGATCTCGCCTGCGTCATCTGTATGTTTGTGTGTGCTCCCAGACTGCATTATTGCCTGCCGGGGCCACGCCTCTACATGTGGTGTATCACAAGAAAGCAAGTCTAGGCTCTGCTTGGTTACAAAACACAATTAGGGATTGGTGTGGACATTGTCGATCTATACATAGGAATCATGCATTAACCTGTCATAGCAACCACCACCACATGGGCACATTTCGGGTTAAAGATTCCCCTGATTATTGGCTGCCCTTTGCTCTAGCTAGTGTCTCCCAGCTTCCTATTCGTCGCCTTTTGATTCTCAACCCAACCGAGGTGTGTATCGGAGAAAATCCCAGGACCGCCAGCCATATAAGGCCTTGTCAGTGTCGCACAACCGCGCGAGCCTAACCTCGGAGTTCGCTGACAGTGTCGCCCAACACCGATGTGACCGAGGTCATGCGCCGACCTTTGGGCTGCTGGATACCTGCTAGGGTGAGGAGTAAGGCAAGCGAAGAAGACATGGACGAGAAGAGGAACCTGTGGGGTATGTCTAGCACCAGCATCCATCTACCAGCAAGATGGCGACACACCTTCGGGACTCGTTAGCCTGACCAGACCCTGATCATCAGGTCGGCCTAACTGAAAGTAGATGTCGCTTCCGTGCCGTGAAAGTTATAATGGGTACTGGATCTGAAGCTGGAGGATCCGACGGAAAAGCTAGATATTCTGGTACCTTCTGGTGCCTGGTGAAACATGCACTTGGCCTTATTCTGGTGCTATTGGCCCAGGACCTCACCGCATCTTTGTTGTCAGGGGACACAAATCACCGTTTATTTGCTTGCTCTCGGTCTATGGAAAAGGTAGCGGTCACTCCACCGAGTGTGAGCACAGTCCAATCTTGGTATTTCATTGGTTTGATACGAGTATAAGGCGCCCTGTGTGTTACCATGCTGTGGGTTCTGCCGCCCCCGTCATACTTTGGGCGGGGAGAATACCACAGAATCGCAGGTGGCGCAGCCTAGTGTTGCCGCACTAGCAGAGCACTTCCGGGCCGCCGGCTTGTGGTCCTCGAGAGTAGTGGGAAGCCTATCTGATTCGGTGGGCATTGAGGCGAGGCCCGTGACAGGGCTTGGAGCAATGCTTCGGGCGTTTTCCATGGCGTAGTCGGTGAGTGCTATGGCAGCATGAAGTGTACCAAATGGAATAGGCTTCTCTGATCAACGTTAATAGTCCCGCAAGACGGAAAAGGCATGTAGTTTGGCGGCACAAGGAGTGTTTTGGGGGTATTCTTGAGGCGTTCAGCCCCTGAACCAAGTATTGTCTTGTCCTGGGACAAGGTTTAACCACCCGTGCACAAGCACAGACCACCAAGCGTAGGCTCCCCCCACCGAACTTACCCAATGACCTCAGCTCTGAAGCTCAATGTAAGAAAGCACACAAAGCCCGACCACGTCCTCGCACTGCACTGCACTGCAACCATCCGACGGCCAACGCAGACGAGGCTCTGGTCTGTCCAAGCCAACTGCGGCATGCGCCATCGATGATGGGACGCTGAGAACAACATCATGTCCGTCATTCTGTGCACCGGTATGTTTGCCCCAGCTCCTGAATATCCCGTTGGTCCAGCTTTTTCTGCTGGAAATGCCGGCTGGGCGCGCGCGAGCGAATCCATTCCGCCCCGGCGTAGGGGGGGGGGGAGGTAAGTGGTGTACCAACGCGCCAACGCGCCTGCCCTTGCGCCGGCCAAGTGTACGTCTTCCATCAATGACACGCTAACCGCCCCGTCGCAGCCGGCTATGACCATACCATCCGGTTCGTCCATCCCGCTCGCTGTTCATGCCCTTCTCTCTCGGCCGCCGCCGCCGCCGCCAACCGCCCTCTCGTCGTCCCGTCGCCCCCCGTCCTTGCCACATGCTCTCTCGAACCTCGCTCGGCAGGTGAACGAAGCACGTACAAGAACATACGGCGGTGACGATAGTATCACTCTCCTCCCCCTCCCTCTCCCGCCCCGCTCTCTGGCTGACCCGGGCACGACAATCCGCTGGCACGCCGCCCCGCCGCCGCCGCCGCACAAACCCCACGGCCAAACAGATTCTGGGAGGCGCTCTCGGGCATCTGCTCGCGCACCATCCAGCACCCGGACTCTCAGGTGAACCGGCTCTGCATCTCGCCCGACAAGCGCTACCTCGCCGCGGCCGGCCACCACACGGTCAAGCTGTTCGACATCAAGTCGACCAACCCGAACCCGCTCATCGTCTTCGAGGGCCACACGGGCAACATCACGGGCGTCGCCTTCCACTGCGAGGGCAAGTGGATGGTGACGAGCTCCGAGGACGGCACCGTCAAGATCTGGGAGACGCGCTCCGGCTCCATCCAGCGCAGCTACAGCCACGGCTGCCCCGCAAACGACGTCGTCATCCACCCCAACCAGGGCGAGATCATCAGCTGCGACCGCTCCGGCAGCGTCCGCGTGTGGGACCTGGCCGAGAACAACTGCTCGCACGAGCTGATCCCCGAGGAGGATGTCTCTGTCTCTAGTGTGACGGTGGCCAGCGATGGCTCGCTGCTTTGCGCTGCCAATAACAATGTGAGTTGACTTGTTTCTTTCTTTTTTTCTTTCTGCTTTTCTTTTATCTCCCAAGTCCATAGTTCCCCTGTGTCTCCTAACACAACCAAAAAAAACTCCACACCAGGGCAACGTCTTCGTCTGGCAGCTCGTGCAGAACTTTGAGCGCACGCAGCTCCTGCCCGTGACGCACTTCTCGGCGCACAAGGAGTACATCACGCGCATCCTCCTGTCGCCCGACGTCAAGAAGCTGGCGACGTGCAGCGCCGACCACACCACCAAGATCTGGGAGGTGGACGTCGAGCCCTCGCGCGCCTCGGGCGAGCCCCAGCCCTTTGAGCTCGAGGCCACGCTGACCAACCACCAGCGGTGGGTCTGGGATTGCGCCTTCAGCGCCGACTCGGCCTACCTCGTCACCGCCTGCTCCGACCACTACGCCCGTCTCTGGGAGCTGCACAGCCAGACCATCATCCGCACCTACAACGGCCACCACCGCGGCGCCGTCTGCGTCGCCCTCAACGACTACTCCGAGGCGAGGTAGTTGGCGAACACCTCTCTTTCCCCGCTTCCCTTTTCTATATCCTCGTCCAAGGGCGGCCGCCCAAGGTGTGCTGTCAACAAAGATGCAGTGGCGCTTGGGAGAAAGTGACGCCCTGGCCAGGAGCATCATATGAGAAGACATGACGGGGGCTGAGGATATCTTGTTGAAATTGCGACTTGTTGGTCCACCGAGGCGGGCGTTAGGTTTGATCTTGGGAATCATGGGCGTTTGGTTGGAGCCCAGCTGTTGCGCCGTTTGTTATATCTCTGTATCGCTGACGATTTCTTTGCTCTCGAATTGACCTTGAGATTTGTTTCTATTTCCCAACATCTTGTCCCCCTGGTTTGAGCCCAAAGCCCGAAAAAAACGGTGCCCCCAGCTCCATATTACTGACTAGATAAATTGGATGGTATCCTGACCATAGCCGCTCTACCCCGCCCAAGCCCCTGACGCTATCCTTACCATCCGTCGCCCCACCCGTCGTCGTCGTCGGCGGGCTCCTTGGGCTTCATGTCGATTTTCTTGGCGACGGCTGGTTTGGTGGCAGCCGGTGTCGTCCTGACTGGCGGCTTCTTGGTACCAGCCGTGGTCTTGCCGCCTACACTACCCTTGGACAGGCCCTTGGGCAAGGGCTTCGCGCCACCAATGCCGGCCGTTTTCTTGGACGCCTGGGCAGCGAGCCAGCCTGCAAAATCCGGCTCGGCGTCGTCCGTCGCTGAGAATGGCACCGCGTTCGCCGCCTCCTTGGTTGGCAGCGAGGTCGAGCCGGACATGGACCGTGCCGAGCTGGCATCCTCGGCGCCGTCCTCATCGTCCATGTCGCCCCAGGCATCGGCGCCGAAGCCATCATTATCAGCCACGGCGTCTAGAAAGAACGCCTCCGACACGGACGCCGGGGACGCCCCACTAGTGCTCCTGACAGAGCCCGGTGCTGGGGTTGCCGAGGGCGACCTGACAGCCTGCCGATGGAGCGCCGATGCCGACGAGGTCGGAGGGGCTAGGCCTGGTCGGGACGGTACCGTCGATCCCTGAGGGCCGCCAGACCCAGATTCTGACTGCATCTCGCCCGCGGCAGCCGACAGCTTATTGGTGAAGGAGGAAATGGCCCAGCCAGCCCAGCTAGCGGCGGCGGACTCGGTAGGCTGCGGCGTGCTCATGCGTGGGACGCCGTCGGGGGCCTTCTCCGGAGGCATCGCCGTGTCCGGCATGGCGGCGGCAGCCTTGCGTATCTTTTGGAGATAGGTTTCCAGCGTCTTGTCGGCTTGCTCACGCACAAGCTTCTCCTTGTCAATCAGAAGCGGGCAGATAGCAGGCACCAGCTTGGCGGCACAGTCCTCATCGGTGAAGCAGTCACTGGTGACCCCCAGTGCGAGGAGAGCGGCATTGCGGGCGTGGACAAAGGGATCCCTCAGAGACCTGCTGAAGGCGGCTATCAAGACCTTGGATCTGGACGAGGTCCCCAGATTCCTGGCAATCTTTCCGAGGCATATGGTTGTGTTTGTACGGATCCCAGGCTGCTCATCATTCGCCGTTTTGGCCAGATATCTCAGCAGTTCCCCGTTTATGGTCCTGTCCGACAGCTTGGAGATGATGACCAGAACCGACTTTAGGGTCTGCTCGCGAACCACGGGCGCCATGTCTGTGAATCCCGTGACCAGTTGGGGGAAGATCTTGTCATTAACCACCTTCTGGCTCAACCGGTCAATCATGAGAGAAAGATTGTCCAACAAGCAGACTCTGATGGCCCTGTCCGGGTTGCTGAACAGGCGGATGACAACAGGAGTTATCTTGGCGTCGAAATCTTCGCTCGAGAGCTTCTGCGCGATCTTCATAACCACTGCAAAAGCCTTGGGACCGCCGCCTCCAAACTCGACTGACTTGAGCAGTTCGGGGAGAACCTTCATCTTGAAGAAGTCTTCAGGGAAGTCGTCCGTCAATTGATCGAGGTCGCTGCGGATCAAGGAGTCAGCACTTTCCGCAAACCACTACCTACTACTCAGGGGGATTGTGTTGCACGGACCCGAGGAACTCATCACGCTCAGTCTCGGACATAACGCCCAGGTTGTCAACACCGTCGGTTAACTTGATCAAAGGCGTGTCGAAGAAGGCGCCACGGCGCAGGCCCTGATCCAGTAGATGCCCGACACTAAGCCGGGCTTTGGGATTGGCGTTCACAAGCCGCTTGTAGCTTGCTTGCATACTTGGGGGCACATTCTTGGTCTGACCGGCCTGGTCCGAGCCTAGGTAGTCGCCATTGAAGGCCTCGAAGATCAGGGTGCCAAAGTTGAACGAGTCCACGGCTGTGTGTGGACCCTTCTTGATGGCATCCCACCCTGACTTGGCAAGCTCAGGGGGCGCATACCTGGCCGAATCTGGCACCAAGCTACCGTATGTCTGCAGCGTATGAGGGTGGTCAGTTGATGACTTCGGTGAGCGGTCCGGGTCGAACTCGAGCGGCGGCGGGTGAGCGAGCGCCCCGGGCAGGTAAACACACATAAATTATGGCGTCGTCGTCCTTGACATTGCTCAAGACGTCAAACCCGCCCAACTTCCACTCCCCGCTTTCGGATGTGTATATGGACGAGACCGTCAGGTTTCCGTGAATCGAGGATGCTTCGTCGTTTATGAACTTGACCGTGCGCTAGTGACGGCATTGCGACATGCTTCTTGTTAGTCACACTGCTGCTACACACGTGCTCCCGTCGCGGCCGTGCATGTCGGGGGAGTCAGGGCTTCTTACCGCCACGCTGTACAGGCCCCATTTAAGAGTCTCGGGACTGAGGCTCTTTCTCTTGACATGCCACCTCAGGGGCACCAGGCGCTCCGTAGCAATGTAGATGTATGTGTCGGTCTAGGTTGGCGCATCGGCGGTGTCAGCGCCAGTGCCGACAGCAGGGCCGGGCTGTGCTCCAGCCAAGATACAGTGGGAGGAGAGGCCGTACCTCGACCGTGTCCAAGACCTTGATGACTCCTGGGTGTCGCAGCGTGCGCAACTTCTTCAACGAGTTCTTGGCGAGCGGCAGTCGGGCCTTGTTGGCGGTGATGTCGAAAGAGAAGATGCTGCAGTTGGAGCCGTCCTCCTGAATCCGGGCGCGCACGAGGAGCAGGGTCGCATGTCAGCAGGCGAGGTGCTGTAGAAGGACGGGCTGCGGGATCAGAGGCGCAAACTCACGCGACGCGTGCCGTTGTAGAGCGTCCAGATGGACTGGTCCAGATCCACACGGTCCCCAAAGGTGTAGGGAAAAGGGGGCCCTTTGGCTATGGCCGAGGCCACGGCCGACTTGAGAAAATCCATGTCCTGCCTGCCCGCGGAGGAGAGAAGAGACGGCGGGTGCCGGTAAGAGAGCCTAAGGGTCGACGACTGGCGCGCAGATGGCGATGCAGCTCAGACGTGCAGGCAGAGAACAGCAACGCTCCATGTTCGGATTCCAAGGGGTGGATGGAGTGAGCAATGCGCGCACCGACAGCGGGATGACGATTTGGCAGGTCCATTGATGGCCACAGTCAATCGGTTGGCTTATCGCAACCTGTCTCCTGTTCCGTTCCCCACCAGTGTATCCCTATTGCTGAAGCTTGAGCGGCAGGTGGGGGAGTGGGTGCCCGCCTGAACGGCCTAGAATCCAAGATGGCCCGTGCGTCAGTAAGCCTTTTTTTTCTTTGTCGCGGCGGCTGGGCCGACCAGCGAACCAACCCGGCCCACCAAATGAACACCACTCACTCAATCACAAGCCTTGGTCGCGAACCCGAAGCCTGAGCCTGAACACAACGCGCCCCAAGTTGCCGGCACGCTTCCGCCGCGGCTGGCTCCCACGGCTCTGCAACGAGTGCGCGCGCCAGCCCTCGGCAGCGACAGCTCCAAGGCGCCCCATTGAAAGCATTGAGGCCGGCCAGGGATCCCTTCGCCGCAGCCGATGGGCTCGCGACGTGCGCGGTGCAGTCGGGTGTTTTGGCGCTGGGGCCCGGACCGCCGAGCGGGCGCTGAGCCAGGGCGCGAGCTGGCATTGCAGTCAACTGCAGCTGCAGGCTGGCGCGGCAGAGCGGCGACATTGGCCTGAAACCTGCACTACTCCACAACCCGCTGGACTTGGGTTGGCTATTGGCCGCTCAAGGACATGTTGACACTGCCGTCAATTGCCCCCGAAACTCGCGCCTCTTTTCCGCAACACGGCAATCTGGTAAGTGTTGGTTCTTCTTGCTTCTCTTTCCACCTCTTCTTCTAGTCTCTTTCCCCATCACCCTCCCCTCTCATTCGCCGCCGATGATGAGCAACCTGGTAAAAGGTCAGACTTGCCGCAAGCTCCTCTGGTTTCTACTGCTATCCGTCTGCGACCTGCTTTCTGGCAACCTCCTCTTACCACGGCCAACAGAGTCTGTTGCCTCCGCTTTGTCTCCAGCTTAACTGTAGTTGTCCGTTATGCTGGAAGGAGTGCCTGATTCACAAAACCCAATCTCTTTGGTTGACACCGCATTTTTGGAGCCCGGTGCTTCAACGCTGCCATGGCGCTGGGCCAAAGGCTGCGGTGTGCATTTCCAATCCTGTCTTGGCTTCGGCCAAGCAGACACTGGAAGGGGTTGTTGCCGGAGTTTGCTATCGCAGATGACAAGCTTTCGAAGCCGCCGAGCTGGCGAGAATGATGCCCAAATAACTGAAAAGACCTGAGGCGGCGAAACTTTTCCTGACAAATTTCTCATCCCTTCTCACTCTCCTCCTCACTCCTCCTCACCCCTCCCTCCCACACTTCAATGCCCCTTTCAACCCGCACATAGGGACGGGAGCACATGGTATATACGACCCCACTTCACGATCCATCTCCTCTTTACTTTCTTTCCTTTCTTTTGCCGCTTGTTCAATTCTAGTGACCCTGGTACCAACACACACGCGCGCGGCCTTTGGAGCTAGCATTGGCCAGATTTGATCTGTGTCACGGAATTGCACTTGGCTCTATTTCACTCAACGTCTACTATCGTCGGTGACATTCGTCCTTTTGTACAACGAATCTCGTCATGAAATACTTTATCCCTCATTGTCGGCCCTTTTTCATTCACTGCTTTTACCCCTCTTCGCATCGCGCTGTCGCCCAACCCGTGCCTTTCACCGTTGCTAATCCAACCAAGCGGCAGTGACGTTTCAAGCACATTCCAGACCGAAATGACGCAACAGCCAAACTGTGGTTATGCCGGATGCAAATCACCTGCTGTCGACACCTTACCGGTGTGCAGGATGCACTATGATGATCTTTTAAAGAAAAGGGCCGGTAAAGGTGCTCCTCCGTCTGTGCCAACAGTTAAAGAGAGAAGACCGCCCTCGCCGCCCGCGAGGAAGCCTGCACCTTTTCATCCCGCCACCACACGACTGCCACCAGAAACGGACCCCGTCCCTGCCATTGTCAAGAATGTTATGAGAAAAACTGCCCCCGGGGGTCGCGGCACGGGTTCCAAGGTTTCTCCATCAGTACACTGTCAGTCGGCACCTAGCTTGGTCCCCCCGGTCGACAGCTTCGCCCAGCAAGGCGGTCCCGGCCGCAAGAAGCGCCGCCTCGACGACCAGTTAGAAGGAGACCAGGCAGCAAAGATCTCCAGGGACGCCCGACAGCACATCTCAGGGCCCCCAAATCCACGCGCAAGAGAGGGGACTGGACCAGCCAGACCAGTCCACACGTCGTCGCACACTCTGTCATCCCAATCTTTCTATGGTTCCCGACCAACCGCAACGGGCGCGAGCAACACCAGCGCCAGGGCCGTGAGTGTTGAAGCCCGAACGTTCGCTGCAGGTAGAAAAGCAACAACAACAACAGCGGCGGCGGCAGCACCGCCACCGCCAGCACCACCGCCAGCAGCGTCAACAGCAGTACCACTGCCACAAATACCACCAAAATCAGCGCCACCGCCAGCACCAGCGGCATCAGTGGCACCAGCGGCGGCACCTACGGCTACGCAGCCCACAGCCCGAGCAGCACCAAAAAGAATGGCGGAGGCACCGGTACAGGCGCCAGTGCACGACCACAATGCGGGACTGAAAGAATGGTTCAGCCGCGCCTTGACGAAAGATTTGATAGGCAACTCCAGAGCAACCACGACACCAGTTGATACCAGTACCGCGAGTGGGACTCTTCCGCAACCAATGGTTCTGAGCATGCCGTTTGTACCCAAAGCCCCCGACATTAGTAAAGGTGAAAAGCAGGCTCAGCGAGACCAGCGAAGCAGGCTAGCGCAGGCTAGCCCGCCCGCCGAAGACAGACATCGCGTCTTCACAGCTACCAAGCAGGATCTGTCTGCTCTGGACGCTTTTGTTTACGGCCAGGAGACGGCTCAGCTACCACCGCCCCGTGGGGTGGTGCTGTCGCCCAAACCCGAGCCCCCAAAGCCTCGCGATGAGCCATTCTTTGCGCACTTGGACCCCCGCGTGCATTGGAGCCGCCCCCACTCGGAGGCGTGGTACGAGGCAAAGCAGAAGGAGATCAGCGAGCGACCAGACCGCAAGGCCACATTCGGCAGGGCGGCGCAACGTATGGCCGAGCGGAGGCGGGCGGAGCGGAGCCAAGCCGCCAAGAGCTCGTCATCCACGTCCTTGGGTGCCGCCTCTCGAAGCAGACAAGGCTCAAAAAGCTCCAGAGATGCGCCCCCAGACAAAGGGACCAAGGGCGGAGTCAACGCAGCGGCTCTTGCGCGGCTGAGGAAGTCATTTGACGCCTGGGACCAGGTCATCTGGGAGAAAGACAAGGAAGCTACCCGGCAAGAAGGCTTGAAGGACCATCCTCGAAAGGGCCGTGAAAAGCAAAAACTTAACGGCACTGGACACACCTCGAAACGGTGAGCATGGTGTCACGCGTCTGCAGCCCACATGTTTGAACTTGCAATTGTGCAGTCCAAACACACTCAAGCAGAATGGAATGACAGCGAAAACTCATACCTTTTTGATTAGTTAGTTTGCCTCAGCGAACCTGTACATACTTGCTATCGAGGCTCCCCACGAGCCTCATTGCTACGTTTGTGTATAGCCCAGACGGGATTATGGAAGGTTAGGCAGCCCATGATAATGTGTCGGGCTATGGGTCAGAAGGGGAAGCGGAGAAACAAGCGATACCCAAGGGCGATGCTGCAAGTTTTTACTTTGATTATCCTTTCTCTCTTTGGTGGAGAGAAGGGCCCTTGTTTATGACGAAAGATCAAACGACGTCCAAGATTTGGTATGAAAAATTCACGACGCATCAAGAAGATCAGTTGAGCTGCGTTTGCTACGTTTCCTGACCCGCGGGCTTTGGGCATGTCATGTGTCATGACTAAGTACCTCCCTTTTCGGAATCAAGACATGGTGTGATGACGCAAAGCCACAACAAAAGTCGCCAATTTTGAACAGATATTACTTTTTGCTTTTTTATTTTGTCTTTGGTGTTGCTTTGTAGGCAACCTGAAATAAGGCAATTGCCACATGAGCTGCGTGCGCCCAGACATTTAAAAGCATCAAATCCCCCCACTGCGCCGTCCCGCCCTGGTTACGCTTTGCACCAAAAAGTCATACACTTGTCATGTGCGTCATTTCTCTTGACAAAAAAAAAAACACAGAACAAGAAAAAAAAAACTGGCAAACACACACGCCTTATGCGGCAATGGGGGTGAAGCTGGTGGTGAGCTTGATGTCCCTGCTGCTGAAGCCGACGCTGACGCCGACCTCGCCCTTGGGGATGACCCACTCCTGCAGCACGACGTCCCAGTACGAGATGTCGCGCCTCTGCAGCGCAAACTCGACCGTCTTGGCCTCGCCGGCGGCCAGGCCGACGCGCTCGAAGCCGCGCAGCTGGCGCGGGGGCGTGCCGGCGGGGGCGCCCGGGAGCGAGACGTAGAGCTGGGGCACGGCGTGGCCCTGGCGGCCGCCGACGTTGCTGACCGACGCCTTGACCGTGTAGAGCGTCTCCCAGAGGGACTTGTGGCCGCCCGGCGGGGCGGGGCCGTCGGCGGGGGCGCGGGCGGGGATGTTGGTGCTGCCGCTGCCGCTACTACTGCAGGGGGCGACGGAGATGTCGGCGAGGGAAAAGGTGGTGTACGACAGGCCAAAGCCGAACTCGTAGCGGACCGAGAGGTTGTGGGCGTCAAAGTAGCGGTAGTCGATCTCGAGCTTCTCGTCAAAGTACGACTGCCAGTCGTGGACGCCGGTGGTGGTGATGTCGGTGGTGGGCGGGGCGTTGTAGTCGGACGGCTTGAGGGCGATGGTGTAGGGCAGGCGGCCCGAGGGGCTGACGTCGCCGTAGAGCAGGTCGACGAGCGAGTGGCCCGACTGCTCGCCCGGGTAGTGGGCGGCCAGGATGGCGGTGACGTTGGGGTGGTCGGCCCAGGGCAGGTGGTTGATGCCCGACGAGTGGGTGACGACGACCGTGTTGGCGCACTGCGCCGCCACCGACTCGACCACCTCGTTGCCGTGCCAGTCGACGTTGAGCGAGTGGCGGTCGTCGGCCTCCTCGGCCCACGTCTTGAGGAAGACGAGGCAGACGTCGGGCTGCGTAGGCACCCAGAGGTTGCGCACGTCCGTGTTGCGGATCAGCGTGTTGTTGAGCCACTGCTGCACCAGCGCGCCGTCCTTGGCCGCCCGCTCCTTGATGGCGCTCAGCGGCGTGACGAGCGACGACATGCGGCCCGTGCCGGAGCCGCCGCCGGCCGTGAGGGTGCCGAACTCAAAGTTCTTTTGGTTGTAGAAGCCCTCGGTGTCCTCGCCCGCGTCGTTTCCGAACACGGCGACGGACCGCGGGGCCTTGAGGGGCAGGGCGCCGTTGGTGTTCTTGAGCAGGACGGCCGCGGCGGCGCCGTGCTCGCGGATCATCTGGGCGGTGCCCTTGGCGCGGGCGTCGACGCTGCGCTGGCCCGTGATGAGGCCGGCGAAGTCGTTGGGCCAGTCCTTGCGCTTGAAGTTGGTGTTGAGGTCCGACGACGCCGGGTCGACGCCGGGGAAACCACGGTCCTGGCCGAGGTGGTAGTAGGGCGTCATGATGCGGACCACCATGTCGTCCAGTCTGGACACGTCGAGGGTGCTGTTGGTGACGGCGGCCGTGATGTTGCCGCCAAAGTACGACCCGATGCCAAAGGTGAAGCCGTACTGCCCCAGGCCTCCGGGCATGTTCATGTCCAGGCCCGACTCGATCGAGGCCACGCCGCTGTGGGTACCGCCCCAGTCGCTCATGACGTAGCCCTGGAACCCGAGCTCCTCCTTGAGCAAGCCGTTGAGCGCCTTGGAGTTCTCGCACGTGTACGAGCCGTTGAGCCGCTGGTAGGCGCACATCATGGAGGCCACGCCGGCCTTGACCGAGTTGGCAAAGGGCCACATGTAGAGCTCGTGCATGGTACGGTCGTCGATGTTGCTCGAGAGCGCCTCGAACTTGACGGCCGAGCTGCTGTTGGGCAGGAAGACGGGGTTCCGCATGATCTCCTGCTCGTTGCCGATCCAGTGCTTGGCCGTGGCCTGCACACCGGCGTCCTGGATGCCCGTGACCGTCTCCCCCATGGCCACGCCCGTGAGGTACGGGTCCGGCGAGAAGCCTTCCCAGTTGCGGCCGGCGTAGGCTGACCTTCCGAGAGGGCCGGCGACGGGCGCAAGGGCAATCTGAGATCCCTTGGCCCGGAACTCGCCACCGAGGGCCTTTCCACGGTCGTACATCACTAAATGCAAGATCCCCTTGTTAGTCTTTACCACAATAAAAACGATGGGTAGGGCGTGAAGCTACGTACTCTTCTTGTCCCAGGTGGCCGCGATGCTGACACCAGCGGAGAAGACGCTAGCATAGTCGGCGAACCGGATGGCCAGAGGGCCATCCTGGAGACACAGGCCGGGGAATCCCAGCCTGGGGATGCCGACGATGTTGCCGACACAGGGTCCAGGTGTGCCCGTCGTGAACCAGGCCTTCTCCTCAACCGTGAGCTTGCTGACGAAGTCCTTGGCCTTGGCTATTGAAGCCTCCCAGCCACCGAGGCCGGTTGCGTTCGCTATATCGTGAGAGGTACGCGGTCAGCATCTGTTTGCTCCTGCCTCCAAGGCGTATGTGCTTGCAGACCCGGAAGGCTTACGTGAGGGGTAGACCGGGGGCGAGTGGCCATAGGGGCCCAGGATGACCGTGTCGGCGGGCTGGACCCATTTGAACCTCTCTTCGTCTTTCTGTGCCTGGACCGCACTGGCGACCGCCAGGACGGCGACGACGGTGGGCAGGATCGAGGAGAAGAACGTGGGAGCCATCTCAAGCAGGTTGTCTAGGTTGACTCTAGACTGAAGGCTGTGCTGCTGGATGAAGAGAAGGTCTGGCCGTTGATCGGGACAGGAGCAAGCCTCTGCCCTTCTTATATACCTCCTAGTTAGGCAACTGACCCTGCTCCCGTCTACTCATTATCCGCCTCTTTACCTCGGCCGTTCTTTCAGAATGGCACATTGGGGGACCCTGGCACCCTGGCACCCTGGCACGAACTCCCCACTGGACGTCATGTCAAGGCTCCCCGGCGCGCACCGGGTACCAGGCCGAGCAACAACAAAGGCCAGAGCCGACAGCCCAAAGCACCCACCGGTCTCCGCATTCCCAATTTCCCGGCGTAAACCCGGAAGCAGCTCTTGGCAGTGGGACGGCGATGGGGAGAGGCGGGCACGAACATGTACCCGGACGGGGTAAGGAGGGGAATAAGGAGAGGCCAAAAAGGGGAGGCGAGGGAAAAGGGCGCACAGGTTCCTCTCTCGAAACGCATGGACTGCCTGTCTATAGGTATAGCACACCTCGCCCTCCCGTCTTGCCGGTATCCTACCCGCCTAGCGGGAAGGATACATGCTATATCAAGACGCATACATCAAGCTACCACGTACTCCTTGGTACATGGGCCATCTGGAGCTGGAACGTAGTTTCGACGAGCCCGACGGACTGGGTTGACAAGGCTCCAAAACCTGAGCGTTCCGAACCCACCCATGCCCACCCCGACACGAGGGACGCTGCCACGCTACCACCAGAGAAGAACAAGAAGGATACATGACGTGACGAACAAGGTCGCGTGCGGGTCCATGTGGAGGAAGTCCAGGGGCACAATACCACCTCGTCTTTGGGGCCAGCCCGACGTTCAGCCGAGGGCAGGGCGGTGGCATGCTTTTTGCCCCGGACCATTCCCAGCCACAGGGGACGCCTGACCGGGCGCCGGCCAATGCACCCCACATCCCAGTTTTCCCCCTTCCCCTCAGTGGGCGCGCGGCGTGACCAGCAAGAGACTGCAGCGAATCGGCCCTACTAGACCTGTCTGCTCGCGGGAACCGTGCCTGGATGCGTGTGGCGTGCGGAGTACTGACGCGTGGGGACGGACGGGGAACGTGGAGAAGAGAGGAGAGGAGAGAAAGGGTGGGAAAGCAATCAGCCGTCCTCGGTGTGAGAATGGAATCGTCACCTCATCGAAGAGACGGCCAACGACGCCAATTGTTCTGCCCACATCCGGGCCGACTCGTGGGTTCTGTGGGGGAGGGTGGAGAGGACGAACAGGCGGGCGGCGGCGGTGTCGGTACGTAAGTCGATGGATCAGTGGTGATTTCTTTGTCTGTGTCCACCGCCACGCATGTGTATCGATCCATGATGGATTCCATGGTTCCCGAGGATGGCCGGGAGGATAAGGCGTGCCGAGGCCGTTTGTTCTGCTCTGCTTCTCAAAACTTGAATGGGCATGTCATCCATGGTTGTTGTGATATCGGCTTTCTTGGCAGAAGAAAAAAAAACATCCACTCACCCAACCCGGAAACCACGATCCTGGCTACTATTTTCCCCCGATCTGATTCCCCGATCAGTCCGAACCAGCCGGGGCCCCCGCAAAATGCCCCCTCAAATGCGGGGCGGAAGCTGGTTCATTCATGTCGCCCGTTGTTTTTGGGCAAAACGTCTGCCCGGCAGTCACGACTCAGCATCGCTTGGCAGTCAAGCTTTTTTCCGCACCAAACAGGAGAGAAAAAAATTAAAGAACCCAAGAAGCACCACAAGCAAAAAAAAAACCAAGGCGGCCTCGGCCCGCCTTGGCCTTGAGAGTCCCGGCAGTGAGTGAGCTTTTTTTTTTTGTTTGTTTTTCTCCTACTCCATCTCGAAATGGACCGACTCCGCAATCCAATCCCAACCTCCCGACCAAGGCATCATTTTCTTTCCTTGGCGTCCTTTTGCTTGCCCACGTCCAACATGGGCAACATGTTTTTACACCGCCCATCTAATGTCAACTCCGGGCACCCAGCCCATTCACCTCGCTCTTCTGCATTGACGATGGCTTTGCTGCGGGTGATGCTGGCCCATCTACTTCACTCTAGTACCATCAAAATCTGTTAACTGTGATATCCGTGCCTTGAAATAAGCGTTCTGTATCCACCGAAGTGTCTTCGTCCCTGTAAGTCTCAGATGAGCCAACCAATGGGATGTTCGACTCGTTCTATGCTAGGTGGAAGGTTGTCTGTTGACTACGAGGTTGGCCTTTGGTTGAGTGCACATCCTCTCATCACGCAAGCCAACAAGGTGCTGTTATAGTCGAGGCTTGGATGACTCCCACATTATAAACATTGTCCGAGCATATAAAATCGGGGTTATACAACCAAACAAGCTCACATGATACGACTTCGCTTTATATAGATACACATAATGCCGCCCTGTATTTTGTACTCCAATTTCTAAACAGAAGACTTGACAATGCGCTGTATAAACCAGCCAACCTTTTTCTCGGGGTAGATCGGAGAAAACTGACCCACGTCCGAGTGGGAGATTCCGTGGGTCCCGAATTAGATACTCTGGAAAGAAAAGGATGCGTAAAAAAAAGAAAAACATAGACCCACGCCCAGGTTAACGCCGCGCTTGATAGCTCCTCTCTACTTCCTCCCGGCGAGCAGATTCAGGGCACTACCGGCCAGGATGAAGCCGGCCTGGTCCTTGCTCACCGTGTGCTTGACAGGCACAACCACCTCGCTGCCGTCAGACTTGGTCACCCGCAGGCTGACGTCGCCCTTGCCGCCCGCTCGGAGCATATCGTACAGACCCACCGTCGCGACCTGGTCGCCCGCATCGATGCGGTCGTAGTCGGCCTCGTTCGCCAGCGTCAGCGGCACCACGCCCTGCTTCTTCAGGTTCGTCTCGTGGATGCGCGCAAACGACTTGACCACCACCACCCGCGCCCCGAGGTACCGCGGCTGCAGCGCCGCGTGTTCACGGGCGCTGCCCTCGCCGTAGTTGTGCTCTGCCACCACAAGCCACTCACGCCCAGCCTCGCGCCACCGCTCGGCCAGGCCTGGGATCGTGTGTCGGCTGCCGTCCAGGTCGTACGCCGCGTTCACCTCGCCAGTCGCCGCGTTCGTCGCTGTGTTGAGCGTGTTGGCGCTGATGTTGGCCAGGTGGCCCTTGTACTTAAGCCACGGCCCCGCCGCCGAGATGGTGTCAGTTGTGCATTTGCCAGCCACCTTGACGAGCACCCGCAGCCCGCTGAGGTCGCCCTCGGGGAACGGCCCGAACGGCTCCAGGAGCGCCAGCCGCTCCGACGTCGGCGAAACCTTGACCTCGACGCTCGCATCCGGCTGCTGCCTCAGAGGAAGCAGCTCTGGGACGCCGGCGTCAAAGGGCGTCGCCGGCCCCTCCAGACCGCGGGGGGCCGGAAAGCGGAAGTCCTTTCCGTCTGGCGTCTTGAGCGTGTCTGTCTGCGGGTTAAACGTTGTGGTTCCAGCAAAGGCCATGGCCGTGACGATCTCGGGTGAGGCAAGGAAGTTCATAGTCTCGGGGTTGCCGTCGTTGCGGCCGCGGAAGTTGCGGTTGTATGAGGTAAAGATGGCGTTGGGGGTGCCCTTGGCCACATCGCCCTGGCGTTTCCACTGGCCGATGCACGGCCCGCACGCATTAGAGAGCACGATACCGCCGGCGTCGGCGAATGTCTCCAGCGTGCCATCCCTTTCCAGCGTCGACCGGATCTGTTCGCTGCCAGGCGTGATGTAGAAGCCGACCGCCGGCTTGAGGCCAGCGTCTTTCGCCGCTTTGAGCATGCTCTCTACCCTCGTCATATCCTCGTAGGAACTGTTGGTGCAGCTGCCAATCAGGCCAGCCGATAGTGCCTCGGGCCACTCCTGCTCCTTGACCGTTTCCTTGAACTTGGACAGCGGCGTCGCGAGATCTGGAGTGTGCGGGCCGTTGATGTGAGGCTCGAGCTCGGAGAGGTTAATGTCGATCTGCTCGTCGTACTGGGCGCCCTCGTCTGCCTGGAACCTAAAGTACGTGTCCGCTGACGACCCGACACCAGGGAAGGTCTGGAGAGTTCGGGCGGCGGCGGCGGCGGCGGACCTTCTCGTAGCCTCCAGGTACCTCGCCGAGGCGTCCGTGAAGGGGAAGATGGAAGTTGTGGCGCCCACCTCGGCTCCCATGTTACAGATTGTGGCCATCGAGGTGCAGCTGAGCGTCTCGACACCAGGCCCCGTATACTCGATGATGTAACCGGTGCCTCCGCGAACAGTCAGCCGGCCAGCAAGGTGGAGGATGACATCCTTGGCCGAGGCCCAGTCGTTCAGCTTGCCGCTGAGATTCACCCTCAGGATGCGCGGGGCCTTGAGCTCCCACGGCGCACCAACCAGAGCCTCGACGGCATCGGCGCCACCGACGCCAATGGCGATTGTGCAAAGTCCACCAGCATTGGGTGTGTGGCTGTCGGTGCCCAACATCATGAGACCAGGGACGGCGTACTGCTCTAGGACGGTTTGGTGGATGATGCCGGCGCCGGGTGGCCAGAAGTCGATGCCGTAGCGCTTGGCGGCCGACTCGAGGAAGTCGAAGACCTCCTGGTTCGTTTGGATACCCGACGACAGGTCCTCCGCGGCGCCCTTCTCGCCGACGATCAGGTGGTCGCAATGGATACTTGCGGGGATGGCAGTCTGGGGCAGATTGCACGACATGAACTGCAGTAAGGCCATCTGAGCCGACGCATCTTGCATGTTGACGCGGTCGGGGTTGAGCTGCAGGTTGGCCTTCCCCCTAATGTCGCGGCCATTGCTGGTGTTTGTGAGGAGCGACCCCTCGACGTTGTGGAGGTGGCTGTAGAGGATCTTCTCGGCCAGCGTCAGGCGCTGCTTGCCCAGCACCTTGCGCACGAGGGAGTAGTTGTGGTACAGCTTCTCGTACGTCGGCGGCAGCGGAGGGCCGGTCGAGAACAGTCGCCGGGCGGAGCATGATCGCAACGGAGCGGGCCGGCATATCCTCTGCCTCGTCCAGGCTGATGGTCAGGGCTGCGGCGTCGACAACACTCGTCGGGGGGTCAACTTACCGGGAGGACGCTCCCGGGGCGAGTGGAGAGCCCGATTAGCCGCATTCTCGCTCTGTCTGACGAGGGGATTGTCGTCGCTACCAGAGTCGGCGTGGGAGAGCGGAGGGGTTCGGAGCATGCCGCTGGGGAAAATCTCGAAAGAGAGCTCGCGTGGGAGCAATCCGGGGTCTCCTCCCAGGGGTCAATTGGTGGGTTCCACACGCCAACACACCAATCACAGTCCTCTCAATTACCAACTGCGCGCCTTTTGAATCGCCGATATCGCTGCGTCAAATGTCATTTCGTTCGAACTCGAGATTGCAACAACACAAAGACGCAGGAAGCAAGAGGCAAGAATGCCACGAGGTATAGCACAATAGAGAAAGGGCCGGAAACAGCAAATAAAAGTGCCCAAGGACCAACCTAATGATGGCCTTCACAGAAACGCCTCGAGCCCACCACCCAGTGTCTGATATTCAGCCCTGTTAACGCCGAGCAGCCACAAACCATAAGCCAAAGTGAGCAAAAACAGTCCACATCCGTCCCTTTTCCTTCAAGCGATGGGGACAGAGTCTAAGAACAAAGACACTATCGTACCCTGAGATTGTTAGCTCAGCAGCTCATGTAGCGCCAGGAGTTGTAATCCTGGCCTCGTCCCTTGACTCTCCATCTGCCGTACAAGACGTAGATGTAGCATATTCTTTACTGAAGCTTCATCCGCTTGACCTCACCGCCGGAGCCACCGCCGGCTCCGTTCGGCACCTCGGCCAAAGGTGGCCTCTTCGCCGTGACCGTCAGAGGTCTGTACTGATTTCGGTTCGCCAACGGGCTTCCCGGGCCGCCTGGTGCTCCGATGCGGCGCGAGTGATCGAGTTGGGGATTCAGCACGTTGGGACGGCCCATGGGCCCCTGGGGCGATTGATAGTTCGATGGCGGGAGTGGACTCTGAGCCCTCGACATAGAATCATTCATGCCACCCCCAGTTCCGAGAGACGGCCTATCATTTGCAGCCTGCGAGCTCGAGGGCGGGGCCACATGCTGGCCGGTCTTGGACAGAGGTCGCGACGAGTTATGATCAATGCCCGGCGTCTTTCGGATCGAAGGACTCTCGGCCTTGGGATCGAATGCTTTCCCTGAAATCGATGCAGGCGGTATGACTGTGCCGTCGTCTGGCACTCGGGGGACAGCACGAGCCGAAAAGAAACCTGTACCCTCACCGCCTGCCGCACCGTTCTGTGGGGCCGGTGGCGTGTGCTGGGGGTTGCTGTTATTCCCATTGTTAGCGGGACGCTGTCCCATGCCGTTGCCTGGCTGCTGTGGTTGAGGTCTGCCTTGGTGGTTGGTCTGGGGCTGGGGGCGAATTCCATGGTTATTCATTTGGTTGGAACCACCGTTGGGAGCCATTCCGGGTCTCGAAGGCTGCTGGCCGGGAGTTTGAGGCTGCCGCGACTGGTTGTTGACCGACGCTGGCCCGGCAGATTGCCTCTGCGGCGGTGGGTTTTGCCTAGGTGGTGGTGGCATCGGCCTTTGTTGGGCTGTGCTGTTGTTCATGTGACCGCCTTGTGGCTGTCGATTGCCATTATTGCCGCCCCGGTCATTACTGCTGCTGTTGGATGTAGAGTGCGATGCATCTAGAGCAGTGGCATCTTCAAAGTGACCATCTCCCTCCACTTCTGCCTCCATCACGCAAAAGTCGGCCTCGTCAAGCTCCCCTAGGAAGTCGTCGAATGAGTCCGGGTGAGCAGCAGCTGGCGCCGGTGGGGCAGCCGGGGTCTCCAGCTTGGGCTTGATATCAGCCTCCTTCTTCACAAAGTCGCTATGGCGGTGCAGGCCGCTCTCGTCAAACTTGGTGGGTGCGACTTTGATCTTGGTGACCTTGGCCAGGTAGTCCTTGTCGTAGATGCAGTTACCCAACAGGTTGCCAAAGTGCCGCAACGCCCGTTTCAGCGCGTCCGTAGTGCCCTCCTTCTTGGCCTTCTCGAAGGCCGAGGCTTTGGACTTGCAGTTCTCGATGTGGCCGTATCCCATGTCCTCGTGGAAGGTGCCGTCGCGGAGAGTCACACGCACGACGACGGATAGTCCAAGAGAGATCTTGCCGGTCTGGGGGTTGACATCGGCAAAGTCGACCTGCACGTCCTGGATCGACGTCGACCAGCCGTTGAAGCCGAAGACGTCATTGGCCAGCGAGATGATCTTGTCGGCGGCGACATAGTGAACCTTTTGGCCCGAGGGACCGCTGCGAGCCGAGAGGTATTCCGGGCCAAGCTGTCGGTCAAGCCGGGTCTGGAGCGCCGCAATCTCCTGGGCCGTCCACAAGGAGAGCCGCGGCCTCGCCTCCTCGAACGGGTTCTGGACGTGTGAGTGCTGTTGGCCTGGGCTGGAACGGCAATAATGTGCGTTAGCAAAAGTCACCAGTGGGTGCAGAGAGGGAGACTGGCCCTCGGCCGAGAGGGGGGTTGTGGCCGACGACGCGTGTCCACACAAAACAAGACTCACGCAGGCATATTGATGAGAAGGAGGCCTTTGGGCCTGGCTGGCCATGCAATAGCTGGGCGTAACGAGGACAGCGATTACGATGTAGATTATCTACGAAGCTGTCTTGATGGGGCTGTTGCGGCTGATGGATGGCACACTTCGTTTGTCGACCTTTCAATCAAACGCGCTTGTGCGAGCTGAGAGGCGGTGGACAAGGCGCGTTGGCAACGCACGGCCACGTGACGTAGGCAGCCTTCCCCCACATCCACCAAAAATGCACTTGGCCCATGACAGGCTGACCTAATAGTGATACAGTTGGGCCGAGTCATGATAACCGAAGCGGAGTGTCATGGAAACCAAACTGATGGGTAGACACAACTCTGCTGATGACTTGGAAGACTTGCGTCTATACTTATGTATATGCCACCATATAGATGAGAAATCATGGGATTTGTAGACTTGCCACCATTTCGGAGCTCGAGCAATGAAGGTGGCTGAATCGAGCATACCGTACTGAAACTCTACTCTTCATAGGGCATTTGGACTTGCCTGCCAATTTCGACTGAGTACGCGGAATTAAGCTCGGCATTACATGCTGATATTGGTCAACTGAACGCTGGTTTCGGGTGACTGGGCTTCTGGGGAAAGGCTAGGTCGATAGAGCAAAGAGTACAACTAAATACCTAGATAACGACCTAGGTAGTTCGGCATCTTCTAGCTGCCGAACCTAGCAATATTGCCCCGATGGAGCTTTCAAGAAAACAAATACAGCGCCTAGCAAAGTGCAGCTACATACCCCCTGGGAATGCGGCTGATGAGGCTCGTCGTACATGCCTTGATACAGATGATACAGACGTCCCATGGGGATGGTGCCACCCATACTTCGCAGCTTTGCTCTCAATCATTGAAACACAAGAAAAGCCGCGATGCCAAAGAAAGATATGGGCACAAAGCGAGATACGCTAGGTTGGAAGGAAGAAGAGTAGAACATACATACAATAGAGTGCGTTCAGCATAAGACACAGCCGGAGATGCTGGCGTGCGAGCGAGAACGGTGAAAAATTCGAGACCGAAACCAGTGAATACTATGGCAGTGAGAGTAAAAAAAATGATGAGTAACGCCACCATGAGTCCAAGCCAGCCCATTAGAAGGAAACAGGGAGAAACAGAGGCAAAGAAAAGAAATGTCTATTCCCAGTCCATGATTGTCCCCCAGAAAATGTAGTCGTCAACATCGTGGTAAAGAAAATGCAGTGAAAGAGGGGAGGGAATTCCAATCCGCTTGCAGGGTCATCCGCGCCGAGGTGATGTTGCTCCACGCTCAAGACATGCCGTAAGACGCCGAGTCCCAATAGGGACATGATGCTGAAAAGATTATGCTGCAGAGACAACACTACCATGGTCCAACCCGGACTGGGTTTCCATACGTTCCGTTGACGAGCTGGTTGAGAATCGAGCTCTGATCGCTGCCTGAGCCTTGTTGCGGCGCACCGCCGGCCCAGGTGACATTGGATGCCATAGACTGCATAGCGACAGTCAACCGCCCTCCCGACTGCTGGTTATGCTTGGCTAGGGTCTGATCCCATCCTGCCGTGTGTAGGACGAACCCTCCGCCTCTCTTCGAGGCCTCGCTAATCACTAGCGCCCATGCCCTCGAGATCTCGTCGTAGGCGTTGTCCTTGTGCTGCCTGTGGCTCTGACTGCTCCAGTCTGGGAGTCCATGGATAATCTTGGTGGCGCCGTCAAGGTACTGGAGAGAAGCGGTGGTTTGGGCCTCGGTGGGGGGCAGGTATTGGGGTGTAAAGTCCGCGATAGCATCCACCAGCGCTAGCAGGGGCGCCCTGACACGGTAGTATGCGTAGTCGGAGCTGGACTGGCCGTACGGGATAGAGGACTGTAACTTGTGCTGGTATTCTCCCAGCACATCAAGAGCCGAGACAACCGTTGGTCGGGGTGCGCCATTGACAACCTCCTGTCCGATGGATGGATGGCGCTCGCAAATTGTTTGGAGAACAGTCCGCAGTTGGGTCGTGTCGAGCGTCTCGAGCAGACGAGGCAGCGACAGAGGCCTTCCCGTGATTTCCGTGGCTCGCACCTTCTTCGACGGTCGTGAAAGCTGGCGGGCTGGGATTGCGGGCGAGCTTCGCGGGGACACGGACATCTCGTCGGCGTCGTGGTCGTCCGCCTTGCGTTTTCGGGAGCCCGCCATGTTTGCGAAGGGAGAGGCTATGGGCATGTCAGCAACCGCGAAAAAGTAGGTATTATGTCGATAGGGATGGCTGGGCGAAATCAGAAGATGTGCAAGCTTACCAGAGCGAGGAGGGGACAATCGGGGGGCTTCGTGTTGATGAGGAAAGAGCGGGGGTTGTGGCGATAGTAACACGTTCATATTGCTGTAGGCGGCAACAGCAACACACGTGGCTGAACTCTCGAAGAAGCGACCGACTGTATTGGCTTGAGTCTAGCCCAGCAAGTGGAGATGGTGGTTGGCGATGGTCCTTATGCGATGGATGCTAATTGCGTTTGGCTCAGGCAGATCGTTCCTCCTCGAAATCTCAATCGGCGAGCGGTCGATGGCCGCGATGTATGAGTCCTTGATGTCGCCGGATTTCTGTTTCCAGGCCTGGCCTGACACGATGTTGTTCCTTTGTTGGAGTAACCTGAGGGCGGCTGATGGCGGTGTCGGGACAGGTTACAGCCTGTTGTCGTCGGAGAGGCTCCACCGAACAAGAGAAAAAAAAAAGTTGCTGAGAAATAGGCGGACGCCGGGTCGACGACAGCGAATATGCTCGAATCACGCGGTGAGAGAGAGAACCAGCGCGGGCTCCGAGGAGATTGATCGTTGTCTGCCGTGTGGTCTCGGACTCAGTCGGAGACAGGAGGCGGAGGCAAGGTGTGGTGGTGCTAGCACAAGTGGTCGGAGGGAGGGCTCGAAAATTTGGGGGGTGTGTGCCTGATATTGATTGATCTCTCCAGGGCTGTTATGACGACGGGCGGGCCGCCGCTGTGGGCAAAGCGAACAAGAGTGAAGCCCAGGTAGGCCCAGGGCGCCACCCAACTCAGCGCGCGGACGTGCAGCTGAGAGGCCAGTCCCCACTGTGACACTCCAGAGTTTGTGCTGGCGGGTGCTGGCCGGGTTGCACGCAGGTGGAGCCGGGGCTAAAATGAGCGAGATGCGAGGGAGTGGACTAATGAAAGCGCGATGGGGGTCCTTTTTCACGCAAAAGCCCGACCAGGGGTCTTGCCGGCGCCGTGCTTCCTCCTGCAGCTCGCCTCCAATCAAGGCCGGCTGCCCAAAACCCCCGATCCCCAAAAGCGCGAGCGGTCGAAGGCGGCGAGGGGGGGCAGGTGGACAGTTCCTTGGCCCAGCACTCCCGCTTCCACAGCACCACAAGGCCGACGAATAGCAGGCTCTGGGGCGCCAGTCGTGGAGGAGCTCGACGACTTGTTGCTGCAGCGTTGCTGCATCTCAGTGGGCCACCTGGCACTAGGGATTGCCTTGTGTGCTGCCAATGGAGCCGCCCAAAGTCCCAGGGCCTTGCCTGGACAAGTGAGTGCTTCTTTGTCACGCACGCTTGGCCCAGGCACCGCAGAGGCCCGACCACCTCCATTCTCCACCAACAGGGATCTGAGTCGCCAGGATACCTGGAGCTGGACGCCGCCTGACCGTGCAGCCGACACTACCCCCAGGCCCAGTCCGGGGGGAGGGGGAGTGACTGACTGACGTGGGCTGACGAACGTCGTGGTCATTGACGCCCTCTCTCCCCTCACGGCTTTCCAGTTGCCTTACCCGGCCTACCTATGCCTTAGACCAACCCCAAAGCATCACGGAGACAGTCCTGGAGTGAGGAATGGTGCTTGGCAACACAACCTTTATCCTAAGGCGTGTGCGCCCTTGAGATAGCGCAGGAGGGGGTGGATGGCACGGCGGGCTTGGGCTTGGGCTTGCCGTCTGAAAACTGTCAGCTGCGTGCGGGGCAGTTGGTGTGCACCCATCATTCACCATTTGGTCTGATGCGGGCCGCCCCTCTGCCCACAGAACTTCTGCCCGCCCTCGATGCACGACACCAAAGTCAATCGGGAAACGCTGGCCGGGGATCTCAGGGCTACCACAGTAGCTGCCTTACAGTAGCAGCCTTCCCCCATCGCGGGCCCTCACGCAGCCCGGCGGTACCGAGCGAGTGCATGCCATCATCGGCCATGTTTTCGGAAGCTGCCGATGTTGTGAATGGCAATCCGGATCAGGAGTATGGGGCCGGGGATTGGGTAAGGTCCCATGTCACGGTGTACTGTGTAGACGGACCTCCCTGGGTGCTCTCGCTGGGCCAGCACATGGCCCGTGATCCTGGTGCGAACCGGAATGGAGGGAAGACAGTGGAGTATCTCATATGCGCGGATGGCCAATCAAGCGAAGAACGTCTGCCTACGATGCAGCGGGGCCAGGCTGGCTAAGCTGAGCACCTCTATCGTCTCGGCCTCCTTCTCGCGACGGCCTCGAGGCATCTCTTCCTTAGCAACCCCTCTTGGCATGATCGTCTCGAACATTTTGATCGCTTCCGACCGATTTCCTCCGCTGCCGTTGACACAAAAGGTCTCCCATGGGCGATCGTATGAAACGAACGTACCAAGATGAAGAAACGTTTACACGCCTTCTGAAGCGGCCAAGAACCATCGGCCCCGTCTCCAATGTCAGCATTCACCCAAATCACGATGCGTACTGGCCACCCGCGCATGAGGATTACACGATCGCCTGGATCTGTGCGCTTCCTTTAGAATTGGCGGCATCGCGTGCCATGCTGGACGAGGAACACCCACTGCCACCCAACCATGCCGGCGACGACAACACATATGTGCTCGGACGCCTCGACCAGCACTGCGTCGTTATGACATGCTTGCCGGGGCAGTATGGAACAAACAACGCCGCAATAGTCGCAACAAATCTGAAGCGAAGTTTCCCCAAAATCCGCGCTACCTTGATGGTTGGCATCGGGGGCGGATCCCCTAGCCAGGCCGACTTGCATCTCGGCGATATAGTCGTTGGCACGAGGGTCATGCAGTATGATATGGGCAAGATGATCGCGGGCGGCTTGTTCCAAGAAACGGCCGATGCAAAGACTCCTGCGCGGCTGCTGAACTCGGCTGTGGTTGCTCTGCGATCGAAACATGGACCACACCGCTCCAGCAGTCGAATTGCAAGCCTCCTGCAAAGCCAACTGCCAAACATCTCGCGCCCAAGCCATCCAGATCGCCTTTTCCAAGCGTCCTACTTACACCATCCTCTCGAGGCGCCAACGTGCGTCGACTGCGACTTGGAAAAGCTGCAACCACGAGTCGCGCGCCTCATTGACGAACCTAGGATCCACTACGGGGTCATCGCTTCAGGAAACAGCCTTGTGAAGGACGGGAAGGCACGAGATGAGATTGCCGAGCGACTTTCAGCCTTGTGCTTTGAGATGGAGACAGCCGGCATGATGGATAATCTCCAGTGCTTGCCTGTTCGAGGCATCTGTGACTACTCGGATTCCCACAAGAACAAAGAGTGGCAGGACTATGCTGCTGCAACTGCGGCCGCATACGCCAGGGAGCTGCTGGAAGGACTTCCGCCTTCGTCCAGCACTCTAGAGCGGACTCCCACATGCAGCGCCAATGCGAGCCAGTTGGATCCCACAGGTGATACAGACCATTGCCCAGCTCCTCCCATCTTCCTTAGTATCATGCTGACTGGGGGTGCGAGTAGACCACCATGCGTTGGAACGACGGCAACACTTGCTAGCCTGCCTTGACTTCACGCAAATCGATGCCCGCAAAACCAGTATTCGGGCTGCGCACACCACAACCTGCCGTTGGCTTTTGCGGCACCCAAAATATCGGGACTGGCTTGACCCTGGGAAGCAATCCCAGACTCATGGCTTCTTATGGATGCGAGGCAAGGCAGGTGCCGGAAAGTTAACCATGACGAAGTTCCTGTACCTGGAAATGAAGAAGACCCATAAGAAGCCCAGCAGGGCCGTGGCGTCCTTTTTCTTCAACGCAAGAGGCGACTACCTGGAAAGGTCCATTTCCGGGATGTACCGATCTCTGTTGTTGCAGCTCCTGCAGGCGTTTCCGGATCTTCAATCCGTCTTGGACGATACAGACATCGTCCCGCGGAACCAACAAGACTGCCCTGATTTGAACGCTCTAAAGGAGCTTCTCGGCAGTGCCGTTATGGGCCTTGGCCAGCGCTGCTTTACCGCCTTTGTCGACGCCCTCGACGAATGTGACGAACAGGAGGTCCGAGACATGGTCCAGTTCTTTGAGGAACTGGCAGAGAATGCCACCGACCAGGGGATCCAGCTTCGGATATGTTTCTCGAGTCGGCCATACCCGTACATTGATATCCACCGCGGAATCCTGCTCGCTCTTGAAGAGGAGTTGGGACACGGAGAAGACTTGACAAAGTACGTCAAGAGTCGTCTCAAGATCGAGAGCGCCTCGCGCCTAGAGGAGCTGCAGTCCAAAATCCTGGACAAGGCCGCCGGGATTTTCATGTGGGTCGTGTTAGTCGTGGATATTCTGAATAAAGAGAGCTGCCACGGCGCCCTCGCTCTCAAGAAGAAACTTTCAGAAATCCCGGCCAAATTGAGCGACCTCTTTAGAGAAATGCTCATACGAGATCCATATAGAACAGAGTCGCTGCAGCTCTGCATTCTATGGATTCTCTTTGCAAAGCGGCCTTTGACTCCAGCAGAATTCCGCCATGCGCTGTGGGCGGGCTTGTTAAAACAGGGTCTGGCCGATGACGACCTGCCAGATGACACAGACATGGATGCCGTCAAACTGGTCACCAGTTCCTCCAAGGGGCTTGCTGAGATCACCAAATCTAGGCAGCCGACCGTGCAGTTCATTCATGAATCAGTGCGGGACTTCTTGCTCAAGGACAAGGGCATCCAGGACTTGTGGCCTGAACTCCAGCCCAACTGGGAGGGTCCCAGCCACGAAATCCTTAAGCGCTGTTGCACTACGTACCTGCATCATCCAAGGGTACAGGCGGTCGTCGATGCGCCAGAGGGCGGGGACGACGAACAAAGCGACATGGCTAAGAAATGCTCGTTCCTGGGGTATGCCAGTCAGCAGGTACTCTACCACGCCAATTCTGCGGCTCCTGTAGTTCCCCAAGACGAGTTCTTGACCCAATTCTTTGCTTCGGCTGGAATCAAGGTGCTCAACCGTCTCGAGAGAGCCAGAGCTCGGCAGTATAGCCAGCGTGCAACCCCGCTCTATGTTCTAGCGGACAGAGGACTGGGAAATCTCATTCGCACACAGATGGAGAGAGAGCCGGCCACCGAGGCTGTTGGGGAAAGGTACCGGTATCCCCTTTTCGCTGCTTTGGCAAGCGGCCATAAAAGTGCCATAGCCGCCCTTCTGGGCTTGTCATCAACTGTCTGTGATGGCGCCGACGTCGCCGAAGGTCTGAACTACAAGAAAGACTTCAAGAATCACCGAGGTCGAACGCCATTATCGTGGGCTGCCCAGGATGGTCGGCTGAAAATGGTGCAGTTGCTGATTCGACAAGGAGTAATCATCAACGAATTCGATGGACAAGACTTTACGCCACTCCTTCGGGCCGTAGCAAGTAACCATTTGACCATCGCGTCGTTTCTGATTGCAAAAGGGGCGGTCGTTGACCTTTGGCGCAAAGAGCTTACGTGGGCGCCATTACTTGTGGCTTTAGTCAACGGTCACGAAGCAATGGCACGGCTTCTTATCAGCAACGGGGCAGACGTCAACGTTAAATGCGATATTCAGCCGGCGGCATTAATCCTTGCTTTGGAACGAGGTCACGAAGCCACCGCATCGCTTCTTATCGACAGCGGAGCCGACGTTCACGCCCGGGACGCCAATGGGACGACGACATTAATTCTTGCTTCAAAACATGGGCACGAAGCCATCACGCGTATTCTTCTTGAAAAGGGGGTGGGCGTCAACCTTAAAACACTACGCGGGATTACGGCACTCCATTGGGCTTCTCGCTATGGTCACGAAGCCACCGTATCACTTCTTATCGATAGCGGAGCCGACGTTCACGCCCGGAGCGCCATTGGGTTGACGACATTAGATTTTGCTTCACAATATGGGCATGAAGCCATCGCGCGTATTCTTGTTGAAAAGGGGGTGGGCGTTAACCTTAGAACACCACACGGGACTACGGCACTCCATTGGGCTGCTATCAATGGTCATACAACCATCGCGCGGTTTCTCATCGACAACGGGGCGGACGTTAACGCTCGAACCGCAGATGGGTGTAACGCTCGAAACAAATCTGGGTGGACGCCACTTCAGTGGGCTTCTAGCAAGGGTTACGAGGCCACCGCACGTCTTCTTATCGAAAAGGGGGCGAACGCTGGCACCCAAGGAAGCGTCGCCGGGCTGGCGCTGGCGACGTCCTCTTCCTCTACCACCCAGACACGAACTGGCACGGCGAGTTCTTTGACCTAGCCAAGCGCAATCCGCTACCGCACAACCTCCGGGGGACCTTATCGAAGAGTCTCGATAATATCGTCCTCTAAGCGCTGTTTCCCCCAGACAACAGGGCCTCCGCAAGCTTGCCGCAGAGCACGCGCGCTTTCCACCTCACCCCCCGCGTACTGGTCCCTGCTCTTCAAAGATACCCCTCGTTTTCCCCGCGGGCCTACACCCGCTGAGCGTCCGCGGCCATGTGCGCAACTCGCTCCCCGCTCGCCTGTTCCAACACCCACGACCGGTCACTGACGTGCCATCCGAGAGGCCGGAGCCGCGGCCACGTCCAACACCCACGACCGGTCACTGACGTGCCATCCGAGAGGCCGGAGCCGCGGCCACGTGAGCAACCTGGCCAACCCGCCAAGCGCGTGGCAGACGCCAGGCTGCCTTGGCCGCTGGCGCCATGGTAGGGGGCGTTGGGATGCTGCTCTCGATGGCGATGACGGCGGCATCCGCGCCGTACGTGTGTGTGTGTGTGTGTGGTGGGGGGGGGGGGGGGGGGGGGGGG